TACAATCCTTTGAAGTTGTTACAACAAGCAAACGGAAAGGACATTGTTGGGTGGGAGAGGGAAGAGGGAGGGGGGAGGGAGGTTTCGGTGATGGGCCATAATAATCAACCACATTGTATATCGACAAAATAAAAATTTAAAGGAAAAAATAAAAATAAAATTTAAAAAAAAAGTATTTGGGCATTTAAGCTGAGTATGAAGATATAGTTGTTTTAAATTAGGAAAATGATCAATAAAAATTACTTAATCACTTAAAATAGTAAAGATGAGAAATAATGTACTATAATTTACTACTTAGTAAGTTAATTTTACATACTTACAAAGGATATTGTAATTTACAAATAATGTCTGGGTTGTTATCTTAATAGACATGTCAGATTTTGTTTTATTTATATACTACCAAAATATAATTAAAGAAGGTATAACTTTGAGGTTAAAAATCCAGATTTACAGTAAGTACAACTTCAATTCAGGTTTTTGCTACAATAAGATGGGACTTGTAAATAACTTAGGCTTTTCTGTTTGTTTTTTAGTTATTAAGTCGAAAAGACAAAACTACATTTGAAAAATTAGAATATGTAATGAGTAAAGAAGATAACTACAAAAGACTCAGAGACTATATAAGTAGCTTAAAGATGACACCTTGCATTCCCTATTTAGGTGAGTTATGTCACTGTTTGTTATTCCTAGTTATTGCTCTTCCTTCATCAGTAATTTATATGAAATTCAAGGTATTTTTAAAGTGTTTCTATCCTTTTTGTAAATACTACAAAATTGCTAAGCTGAAAAAATTGACTAAAGGAAGTTGCCACCTAATTATCTGGAATGTTTTTCATATTAAATTAGCCTTTTGCCTTTAAGGTTTTTCATCAACAGTTAACATTTGCTTAGATGGACCATATGGTAAAATAATGTTTTAGCTGTTTTTGGAATGCTTTCAAAGAATGAAGCAGTAGTTTGTAATGAAATTTAATATATTAACTAAAAAGAAATTGATCAAAGTTCTTACATAGTTGGCAGATATTTTAATATGAATTCTGAAGAGTAGTCTCAATGAATATTGGTATTATTGTTTACCTGGATAAAGAGAGTTGGTTAGCTGTGGAAATTCAGCTTATTACTGAGACAGTTCTATACTTTATATATCATTCGTCTAAGAATTTGTCTTTTTATCATATATCTTAACAGTGTTTGTAAATACCAACAAGTATTTAAACAATAACAGTATAAGACTATTTTCAACGAAATATGAATAATGCTTTATTAAGTGTTTGGATGAAAAGAAGTCCCAAATTAAACTGTCCTTTTTAATATGTATTTAAATTAAATATACAAAAAATTCTTTATGTGATATATACTTGTCATGCATTAAAAGAAATTGATTTAATCCTATGTAGAAAGTAATCAAATGACAAACATTTGTTCCTAATATTTCCTCCATCTCCCCCCAATCTCTACTGTCTTTTATGTAGCTACTCATACTGGATTTCAAGATAGCTATTTCTTTTTTTTTTTTTTTCCTTTTTGTCTTTTTTTGTGACTGGCAACGGGATCGCAACCCTCAGTGTCGCGCCCGCACCGCTCTCAACCAGTGAGCGGATCAGTCTCTATATGGGATCTGAACCCTCGGCAGGAGCGCCGCCACACTCCCAAGCGCCACACTATACCGAGTGCGCCACTGGGCTGGCCCCAAGATAGCTATTTCTGAGAGTAATTGAAAGTCTGTTATTTGTTTAGGAGACTCCACAGTGTCACCTTT